CTTGGAGCATGTAAATTTAGAGATGGAAAATACCATTAATGTAAGCGAATCTAGTAGAAAATTATCCAATGATGGCGTAGTTTGTGAAAATACTCCAAAGGAAAGTAACCATTGTAGACACACGTCAATGGACTATCCTGATGCTGCAACGGATGCAGCACGCAGAAAAAGGTCCTTAAGATTGAAGGCAACTTCAAGGGACACTAATCATGTGAACCTTTCCAAGAGAACAGTTGATTTTTTCCCATCAACAGGAGTTTCAAGTTCTGGGGCCAATGGGAATAGGTCTTCTAGAAGCAAGGGAGAAGTTTCTTACAATGATGAAAAAGTTTGTCTGAATAGCTTCACTGATGTACCGAGGAAGTCAGATTGGTTGTTGTTGTCAAAGCAGGAAGAGGGATATCGCTACATACCTCAGCTAGGTGATGAAGTAGCATACTTAAGACAGGTACGTGAATTTGTGTTGGATAATCATAAACCTAACTGTGTACTATTTGGTGCTTTTCGTTCCTGATAATTTTGTATTAATGTTCATTATACATATATAATTTCGTCATTTTCTGTGACCATTAGGGCCATCAAGAATATTTAGAGTCCAGTGGATCATCAGGACGAGGTCCTTGGGAAAAGCATGGGGCGAGAATCCAAGCTGTGGAAATTTGTTTGGTCGAAGAGCTTACTTATGCAACAGTCCCTGGTTCCGGAGAGAGTTGTTGTAAAATCACGCTTAAGTTCACTGATGCTTCTTCCGACGTGTCTGGGCAGAAATTTAAACTTACAGTGCCAGAACTAAATGACTTCCCAGACTTTATCGTTGAGAAATCACGATATGATGCAGCAATGAAGAGGAGTTGGGCATGCAAAGAAGAGTGTCAAGTCTGGTGGAGGGATGAGAGTGAGGAATGTGGCGGTAGGTGGTGGGATGGTAGGATAATATCTGTGAAGGACAAGTCAAGTGAGTTCCCAGGAAGTCCATGGGAAAGGTATGCTGTTCAGTATGATGGTGACCAACCAGATACCCATCTTCACTGCCCCTGGGAACTGCAAGATCCATTTACCCCTTGGGAGCATCCTCATATTGATCCTGAAAGCAACAGTAGGATGCTGGGTGCACTAAATAAATTGCTGAAGCGCGCAACCACTAATCAGGTCATTTTTTTTTCTTCTCCTTTGCGAACTACAACTACTTCATGTAATAGTTGCATGATTTTATATATACATGAAAACTGAATTTGCTTGGATGTTACAGGATGATTATGGGGTTGTGCAATTGATAAACGTTGCTAGGAAAGTGGATTTTATGAACAGGTATACATACAACATCTTTTTGATGAATGTGATCAGGTCAATATGAATTTTTATTATTTTGTTTGGCCAGCCGGCCTCTTGTTTTAAAGGGGGTTGGGGGGGAAGATTGAGAGTATAAATTTGGTTGAATTATAGTGGGGTACTTAATTGGAAGGAAGGAAGGAAGGATATGTGCATTATTAAATATGGTTAAGCAACTAAACATAATTAATTAAATACAATACGATTGGATGATGATGATGATTTGTGCAGGTTTGCTGTTCCATTATCCCCGGACATAATCCACTCAAGGTTGGAAAATAAGTATTATAGAAGTGTGGAGGGTCTGAAGCATGATGTGACAGTGATGCTGGGGAATGCTAAGGATTACTTTGGGAAAAATACAGCAGTGGCAGTAAAGATGAAGCGTCTGTCAGATTGGTTTACTAAAATATTATCAAAACTGTGAGTGATCTGAGGGTACGATACTCCATTCTTATACGGAGTATTAATTAATTATTAATTCATACAAACAAACTAGGGTCGATCCATTCTTATTAGTTTAGCCATGGCAACTTGCTTAATTGCACTTAAGTTTTGATATATGGTTCGTTGGATCTCATGCATTCATGCATAAAGAAAGCTAAGTACTTTTAGATTGGATTTCTACTTGCTTTGCTTGGACCGTTTATTATTATTATTATTATTATTATTATTATTATTCATAACAACTTAACTGATATGCTGGAAGCCTTAGCTTGTACAATTTTCAATTGCTGTTTAATTTATTCTTTCCGGACATGCATGATTTAAGTTTAGTTAAGTCAGGCGGAGATGTCTGTAAAACTAAAAGACAGATGACAGATGCAGCTAGAAATTAGAGATTATGGATCGAGGGTGTTTCTTCAATTCTTCTTCTTAATTATATATTATTTGGGCATTGCATCCAATTAAGTGTTAGAAGGTTGGGTGGTTGGAGCTGAGGGGCTTCATAGTTGCGTTCATTCTCCAAGCCAAGTAGTAATCCATTCCAGCCTCACTGATATACTGATATTGATGGAGTATCTCCTCCTTTCCAGTATGTGCAGTGAGAGACTGAGAGCTAGCGATGATGGGAATCCATATCCCTCCCATTGCTTAGCTTTCCCCTCTTCCTTGCATTGTGCCTTCAAACCCATCCATTATTGCCATCTAATCAATCAAAGCATGCATAAATACTACTATATATATATATCAACTGGATGGATCGGAGTTAGGTAATATATATATTTAAGGGAAAATGGCAGTTTTAGTCTATCAATTGTACTCATATTGTAGACTTGATTTATTAATTATTATTTTTTCATTTAATTATGTGTAAAGTGACAACTTTTTTCATTCATTTTCTGACCAGTAAATTGACATTTAACTTTGAAGTTGAAGATAAGTAGATACATGCTTATAAATCTTAAGAAAACTAGTAATTCTTCATTACAAATGAAGAGAATCGGTATATATATATAAAGATTTAGTTGATGGGATTTGAAAAAAAGCTATGAAATAACTAATATGTCTTTCAATAATTTGAAAATTTTAAGTACAATATTAATTTTTAGCTATATTCCGTATCAAACTTAATAATTAATAAGCATAAGAATGCTAAGTAGAATAATGCCCTACAAAAGTTCTATATAATTATTCTCCCCAAGTTCTATATCATTATTAGTTTTAGTTTGAGGGGACAATGAGAGCAGTGTAACGTTGGAACTCCCCAAAAAAATTAATGTACAGTAAATACGGAGAATGACGGCCAATATAATAATGATTTGATTGATTTCCCTGAATTGAATTGGATATATAGGTAGAAATGGAAATAGCTGCATGCTTAATTATATTGACTGCGCCAACATTTCCATTTTTAAATAATGGGAATATATATTATATTCCTTTTTTTAAGGTTTAATTATTAATGTACATATATTTTGTAGGAGAATCTCCACTTTTGTAAGGTAGCTGACCAACTAGGATTGCACATGGTTTGTGTGTATGTGACAAGTGCGACCAAACATCCCCAGTGGCTTAATATAATGCTGTGGTACGTGTTAAGCTAGCTTAATTAGGGCATTTGCTTTTCCTTAAAACCTCTCATCCATTCATCCCTTAATGCATATATGATTGTGTGATTTCCTAACATGCAGGCCGGGATTCATATGTATAACTAACTCCAGTTGTTGGCCTTCCCCAACCACCTTAAAAAACACAAAAAATTAAACAACCTAAGCTAAACCCATCCATATCACATAACAATATAATAGTTGTTTGGTTTGGTAGTTCGTTCAACTAATTTTATTACTTCTAAATAATTAAACTCATAAAAATAAGGAAAAATTGCATTTTGATTTCTGAGTTATACTCAACTTTCGACTCAGTCCTTAAGTTATGACTGTATCCATTTTTAGTCTCTCAGTTATATACGAAGTGGCTCATTTGGTCCCCAATCGTTAAAACTGATGGAAAAAGTTAAAAATATTTAAAATTTGAGGGGTAATGTAGAAAATTCACATTTTATTCTCCTTCTTATATCAAAACCACATTCACAACATTATTTTTCACTTCTTAGCATCTTATTTCAAGATTGTGCAATTCGAAAAGCATTTCAATAACTTTAGTTTGACTTGTTAGGAACCTGACTCTCGTATAACTTAGCACAAATAAAGAAACACTTGATCATTATTATCAGATGTGTGAAACACACTATCATATCAATTTTCACTTTTCTTTACTAAACAACAAAGATAATCAAACCAAAACTTTTGAGATACAAAATGATGTCAAATTTTTCAGGTTGCTTTTATGAGAAATTCACTAACGAAATAACTTGAGATTTTTAGTATGTAAAAAAATTTCATACGCAACATTCAATAATCGTTTTTATAAGTTACAAAAGTTTTTTGAATTTTCATAACTGTGTCTTAGGTTTCTCATTCATTACTCTGGTTTTTAAGGAGACATGGGAGTTGATGGGTATATATATATATATATATATATATATATATATATATATATATATATATAATTTTTGTATATTGTTAGGATATGCGATTCTTAATTAAGTTTTTGCAAAGCTTACGAAAGAATTTTACGTACTAAAAATCTCAAGTTACTCCCTTAATGAATTTGTCATAAAAATAACTAAGAAATTTGATATCTTCTTGTATTTCAAAAGTTATAATTTGATTACCATTATGTTTAGTAAGGGAAATCAAACTTTTAGGATGGTTTGTTTTACATGCTTGAAGGCAATGATCAAGTGTTCTGATCTCTTGTTTGTACTGAGTCACATGTTCCTTATACGAGACTCCGGTTATTAACAAGTCATACAAAGATTATTGAATTGCTTTTGGAATTGAAGAACCTTGAAGTAAAATGCTAGGAAGTTGAAAATAATGTTGCAAAAGTGGTTTCAATATAAGAAAGTGAATAAAATGTGAATTTCCTACTTTACCCTAAAAATTTTAAATATTTTTTAATTTATGTCAATTTTAACGGTGAGGGACCAAATACGCCACTTTGCTCATAACTGAAGGACTAAAAATGAATACGGTCATAACTCAAGGACTGAATCGTCACTATCATTATAACTCAGGGACCAAACTCGCCATTTTGACTAAAAATAATATAAAAAGTATTTGATAGTTGCGTTAAACTCATATCAAATTAAAAATATAACTGAATATTCAATAGATACTCAGATATGTTTATTGTTATTACAATCTAAAATAATAATTACAATATGATGATGAATGGAAAAAAAAAAAAAAAAGATTAACTATTAGATAACAAATGAATAACACACCTTGAATATTGAATGGAGATGGAGGATCGGAGCACTAAACATTGTGCTCCAGTATATAATTAAAGCTACAAATGAAACAATCATATATCCGATCCACTAAAATTCACTTCATATATTCTTCTTATTGACAGCGTGTAAAACCATAGCTATCTGTCTTCAGAATCCTGTAGATGAGGAAATCCAACTTCAATCCAAAACAGTTTATATATATATTTGTCGTTAAAATTAAGATACAAAAAATTCATTTACTAACCAAGTACGAGTGTTGGTGTTGGATAGTGTTCTGGATTAGGGTGACTATTCGGACAAGCACATACATTGGCAGGAATATACCGCTGGCCTTTAAAATCAAAATCTGGATGTGTGCCATTGATAAATAATAGTTAGTAATTTTGTATTTTAAATTAGAATAATGTCACGTTATGAAATGTATAATGAATACTAACCGTGGAGAGTGAAAAGGGATAATCTTTTGGTCCTTCACCCACCAACTCGTACACATGTCTTACCAGAAGCAAGAATGTGAACTGCAATTTTATTATAGTATAACATTAGAAAAAATAAAAGTCAGAAATAATGCGCAATAAATGGAAGAAAAAAAATGATTTCTTTTTCCTGTTTTCTAAAATAAATAATTAGGTCAAACAAGTGATATATCCCATGCTAGCTGAAAGATGATTTCATTATTATATGGTATGGCTGGCAATTAAGTGGGAGCATGACTTGGATTTTTAATTAAAAAAATTATAATTAGTTCTAATCAATTAATTAATGCGCATAATAATGTTGAAAACTGCCCACGAACTTTCATGTATGCCTAGTTGCCATGTGAAAATCAAGAAAGCAACCCCGATTTATTTATTTTTGTTTTGTGAATATGAATGCAAAATAACAAAAATATTACGTGTCTTGTTTGGTAAAATAGTTATATCAGTCAATTTTTTATTTATTTAGCCACTATTAGTTGTTTGACTTGGTTAAACAATTAATACGAATGTTTGATTAATTAGCTTTTTGTAACAACTTATTGCTCTAAAATGTTAAAATTCAAAAAGCTGTTCAAAATAGCTTTTTCGATCAGCTTTTTGAAAAAATCATTTTTTATATAATCAACTAATTTACCAAACATTTTTCTACAATCAACTAATGCTATTAATATTAAGTAGTCAAACTCACTAACTCAAACAATTATCGGCTAACAGCCATTTACTAAATGGCTGTAGATGAAATGAAAGGAAATGAAGCTTACAATGAGGGCCATTGATCTACAGCAAGAGGCAGTCCTGGTGCGATGTCCAGCTGATGAGCACTGCGAATAATTTGTGGTTTGGTGGTCTTGTCCATTTTCTTCATCCGCATCTATGATTGGAATCTCTAATCTCCCCCTGTATATAATTCAAAAATGAAACAATAATATAAAGAGATAGACGATAATACATAGGCGGCTAATGGTCCAAATTAAATAATTAGAGAATATGGAAGCTAGCTAGCTAGCTAATATGGTTTTATAAATCATACCTAATTGTCACAGTTGTTGTTGTTGCATCAACCAAGTGGACCATTTTAGGCGGTGGAGCCGTGTAGCCACCCTCATATTTCTATAACGTTAAAAACATCATCCTCAGTCCTCAATAAAACATATATTCACTCCCATACATACGCTAATTATTTATATCCATACATATTAATATTAATTTGGCTGTGCTCGCTCAAATATAATAATAATAATAATAAGTTATCTTAATTAGCTCATTACTACATCCGTGAATGCAAAAATTAATATATGTGTTAGTAAAAAAGTTATCTGCATATAAATAGAAATAAAATAAAAAATAGCAGCTTTATTTGCGGACAAGCTTTTTAATTTTGTTTGAAATCTTGGTTTTCAATCAAAGAAAAAGGAGAGAGAGAGAGATGAAATTGAAAGAAATATTATCCATGAAAAAGGTTAGACTATGTTTGATGATGGAATTGAAATTTGAAATCCTATTTGTGATCCTGACGAAGTTGCTGGACAACCACTAGAAACATGAGGTGCGAAGAAACAGGCAGCGAACAACGAAGACCGGCCATGAAACGTTTTGACGAAACTAAGGTTTGATTGGGAAGCGGATAACGTACAACACGCAGAGGATCGTACCTACCTGTAAACAAATTTCACAGATTGTGTTTCCCTTTTCATTGCACCATCTCTGTATGCAATCTCTATGCGCAAACTGCAAATTCGAAACAGAACATATATATATGATCAATTAATTGTTTAAGAATCATCATAATATAAACACACACGGGAGATAACTAGGGAATTGGAAATATATAGTAAGAAAGTAAGAGAAAAACGCATGCCTTAACGGTTCCAGAACATCCGCAAGGAGCTTCCATGGAGTTGGAGCTTTCAAACTCTGCTTCATGGCAGATTCTACAAAAACATATAGCTTCACTCCCTGGTTCGTACCCATAATTCTCCACATATATCACCACTTCACCCATTGATCACAGATACTTCCTTTCTCTCTGCGCTTCTCTTTCTTCTTCCTAGGTTGTTTCTCTCTGTTTTCGACAGTTTTTTTTTAGGGGGGTCTGGTTGGGACTTTAAAGCAGGAGGGAGAAGGGTGAGGAAGTTACATAAATGCCATTTAAAAAATATATATAAAAAAGAACGCCGCCCGACTGTGAAATGTACGGAGCATATGTATGTAATATTGGTAGAGTGACGCGGAGTCGTGGCCTGACAATTAATTAAATTAATCCCCCACTCGCCCCCTTATTTGACTCTTTCACCACTCCCATTACTTCCATCTAACATCACCTAATTAAACACAAACCCATATGTTGTTATTTGGTTTTCATTAATACCACTTTTTTTTTTTTTCCACAGCTAAAAAAAGTTAGGCATTCTGTACTTACTATCTTATTAATTAGGAATATGTACATCCCATTTCAATTGAGTTAGAAGTATCTTATTAATTAGGAATATGTACATCCCATTTCAATTGAGTTAGAAATTCACATGTAACTTGTAGCTCAATTGTACTTTTGTAGTTTTTTCAAATGACCCGGTCACAGGTTCAAATCTTAGTAGGAAATTATTTAAACATGAACGAATGTTTGGTAACATAGTTAAACTTATCAATTAATTTTAGTTTATTTGGTCACTATTAACTGTTTGACTTGGTTAAACAACTAATAATCAGATTTTTGTAACAATTTATTATTTTAAAATGTTAAAATTCAAAAAGTTGTTCAAAACAGTTTTTTCCATCAACTTTTTTTAAAAATAAATTATATCAATCCTTAAAAGATCATTTTGCATGTAATCAGCTATAACCCAACTAATTTACCAAACATCTTTTTATAGTCAACTAATGTTATTAACTTATCAAATTCACTAACTGTTATTTGCCAAACAATCCCACAATATTATATACTACGATGAGTTACAACGGAACAACATAATACAATCTTACCGTTGAGGACATAAGCTTGTAAAAAAGGTAAAAGGTGGAAGACGAAATTATAAAAAGGTTATTGTTCTCAAGAGTTGCAGGGTGCATGAAGGAAGTGATGATTTCGCAAGTGACTTTTGGCATTGTCCTTTGTATGAATTCCGAGTTTGAATTTGCAGTATGATTGGAGATTAACGGCTCCAATCAGTCAGGGGATGTCCCACAGCTGCATTCACCGACCGATCACCCCCAATTGGGCCCACCAAACGGCTAAGAGTTTTAATAAGATTCTGTGTGGAATGCCATGTACGTGTCACTTTCATCCTCCCATCCATCAATTTCTTCTTTTATATATTTGGAAGAGCATATAAATGAATCATATCATTGCTGTTATACATTATCATAATCCTTTTTTATGTTTGCCCTATGGACCCATGATAAAAACTATTTTGACAAATGGATAGTGAAGTGTAAGTATCACATATCCAATTTTATTATTTTTTTTTTTAAAACCTATATATAATATTATGAGTCTAATTAATTAATAGTTTAAGTAATAATAAAAAAAAATCTGCAGTTATTATCCAATAGTGTGTACTGAATAAATTATATCTTAGTATCTTCTATTGAAAGTGACACACTAATCAACTTAGTTAGCGTTACATTTAAATGTTTAATTGAGTGAACGAATTTAACTTTTGATTATTTTAACTCTATATTTTATATTTATAAATATTTATTTATTTACTTTAAAAATACTTATATCAAAAGTATTTTTTTGAAATTAGATAACAATTATGGTTCTAAATCAATAATTGATAAGAGTATTATATTATATAGATGTGGAGCATGGAGTACAGTAGTGAGTAGTGAGATTATTAGAGGATTAAGATGCTGACGTTAATGCTTATCCTGTCTGCACTGCACTGCCGAAAGACGCTGGTGGTCGTTCTTATCATCATCGGTTTATATTTATCCATGTCCCCAAATTCCACCCAATTTTTTAAAAATACAATGGGGGCCCATTCTCACCACACAATGCATTTTACGTGTAAGGAATTCTTGACTACAGTGAATGCGATACAATGATACATACATTTACGATATATACACACACATTCTAACAACGCAAATAAGTTGATCATATAGTTAACTTAATAATGATAAGATTTTAAATTTAATTTTATATTGATGGATACTTCGCATATGGTACCTAGTCGGTTTTGCGAGTCAATTAGGAAGGGGAGGTGGTTAGCCTAGCAACAAATAACGAGGTAAAAATTTAAATTGGCGTCACAGAGATATCAATAGATTCGTTATCATATCCCCAAGTTTTCATTTTCGAGGAGAAGAAGTTCTGAAAAAAAGGAATCTCATGTTTAAGAAAGAAGTCCAAAACATAATTTAGGAAAGTTGTTAAAATTTTAAACCTTTTCATTTTTTATTTTTGGATTAGCTGTATTGTAAAGTTAAGGGTTCGATTTCTACACTCTTTGACAATAGAATTATTATTGTTTTTGCACCTGTTACAGTACTATTGACCTGCTGACTGAGTATATATATATGGGGCACGCATGCATGTTGAGTATGTTGGTATGATTTATTCAAAATATCTATTTGCTTGAAAAGACATGAGATGACGTGTTTAGTTAATCCATGGTTGGAATGAGCTAATCTAAAGAGATTTAATTAAAGGAATCAAGCTAACCGCGTCTTCTTGATTGCAATTTTATACATAATAATAAAGCAGGCAATATGGGTTGGGGGAATCAATCATTCAATCAAATCCACTAAATATACATATATGTAATTTTAAGTAATTAATTTCCTAAAGAAAAAAACAAAACATTGTATCAAAGACATAACATCAATGTTATAATTGGTAGTGTAGAACAAGACCGGTGAGGCCACCTTAACAGACAACAGCTGGTTTCCTTAAGCTACATATGCATCGGTTTGGCTGATCCCAAGTCTCTTTTCATTTTTGGTGATGATGATAGATAGATAGAGTCAACTGCAAGTAACTAACAGACTAACAAATAACAATGAAAGCAAGCCAACAATATTTTCAGATTATGGGCCGGGCTGGTATGGGCTAGCTCATCGATTCAAAAAGCATATAATGGGCCGGGCTTAGTCGTGGAGTCCAACCTGTTCAAAGTTATGGTCAATCTTATTTTAATTTATTTTAACGTGATGTGTGACCGATGCCAGCTCACAGTCGCGTCGATTTTCACAGCCCGCCGGAATTTGTCTCTTCTCGGTGAACTTTCTGTCTGACACCCAATTTCACCGACAGGGTAAAACTTTTCGCCATTTTCGTCTTCTTATACTTTTTTAAATTTTCTACTCCTAACCACGTGAAAAATAGTCATAAAAACTAAAATCAACGCTTCCCGTCCAGTCAAAAGCAGAGCCAGATCTCTCTGCATCTGCTGAAATAGGAGGAATCCTCGAGAGAGGTTGAGATCTGCGTAGGGTTCCACGGTTGTCAAGAAAAGATGTTTTTGCTAGATTGGTTCTATGGCGTTTTGGCGTCGCTGGGTCTGTGGCAGAAAGAAGCCAAGATCCTTTTCCTCGGCCTCGACAATGCCGGCAAGACCACTCTTCTTCACATGCTCAAGGACGAGGTTATGCTTTTTCTAACTTGTAATCCACTCTGGGATTTCAGGATCTCCATCTTCGATTCTCAAAATACTCATCTTTTTTTTCCAATTTTTTCCACCAGAGATTAGTTCAGCACCAGCCCACTCAGTATCCTACATCCGAGGAGTTGAGTATTGGCAAAATCAAGTTCAAAGCTTTTGACTTGGGAGGCCATCAGATCGCTCGCAGAGTCTGGAAAGACTACTATGCCAAGGTACGACCCTTGAGCTTCTGCAATTTCAATTCACTAAGTTTGCTTATACTGTTTCTGTTCAGTTAGCAATTGCCTAGCTATTTACTGATTTGCTCTTATACAATATTGTTTTATGCTTAAATCATTGAGTTCAATTCCACTTGTGTAGATCTGTTGTAAGCTGCTGCTATTGGTATATACTACTCATACTGTATCAAATTTGTATTACTTTAAAGCATTGTTTCTGTCATCTTATTGCTGCTAGTGTATCTGTTTCTGATTAGGTTAGTTTATTATTCCCCTAATACATGCAATTTGCAACCAAGATAAACATTATTGGATTTGTCTTTCTTATATCCTATTCTGAATGTTTTACTCGGTGTGGTTGGATTGAATTTTACTCTTCCACTTATGCACTTATTATTGAAAATTGTTTTGTGAAACTAAGAATGTCATTTAAATATGTGCTTACAAGTTACAATGAGCTTTCATCTCATCTTACTCTAAAGTTGACATCTTGCTTTCTTGGAGGTTTCTTTAATATTATGGTCTAATATGCTAATTGTGCCACAGGTGAAGTAAATTAAGGAACTGTTCCACTGGCTTTGGTTGTTTATGTTTCTATTAAAAAAAGCATATACAAATTTTTCATATAGAGTTTCTCGATTAACCTAGCAGCATATGAGCATATCTGCACATTGCTCTTAGAATGAGTTATCAGCTTGCTTTAGAGTTCAAAGTGTGCTGGAAATTTTTATCTTCTGATGTGTTTTCGATCTTGAATTTGTGTATTGAAATGAGATCTAATAAAATTCATCTCTTAGTTTTGCTTTAAACCAAATACCACTACTCTATTGTTGAATAGTAGTCCATCTAACCAGCTTGGTTGGCATGAGGAGCCGTGCATTCTCTTCCCTTAAGAGAGGTCAGGATTTCGAACCCCCTCTCATATGGAAAAACCAATCTGGCAAGCACTTTGTCCCTTAATTGGCCCGGCCCGGCCCGGTGTGAATGGAGATTAGTCTGAGTATGGTACGGGCTTAAAGGTGCTTCTTACAGTTAGGGCCTGCTCAGGACACCTCATGGTTTGACCATTAGTAGTCCATCTACTATTGAGTATAGTGCTTATTATATGTTTCATTGAAAATTGTCTTGTTCTAGGAGGAGTAATATAGGCATGAAATGCTGTTATGCAGGTTGATGCTGTAGTTTACTTGGTGGATGCATTTGACAAAGAACGTTTTGCAGAATCTAAGAAGGAATTAGATGCACTACTCTCTGACGAGGCCCTTGCCAGTGTTCCCTTCCTGATATTAGGAAACAAGATAGACATACCCTATGCTGCCTCAGAAGACGAGCTGCGTTACCACCTTGGCCTGACTGGTATTACCACTGGCAAGGGAAAGGTGAACCTTGCAGATTCTAGTGTCCGCCCTATAGAGGTATTTATGTGCAGCATTGTTCGCAAAATGGGGTATGGCGATGGCTTTAAGTGGGTGTCTCAATATATAAAGTAGATGTATGAATGAACATCTATCCGCCATGGGATAACTGATAAGAGTAAAGACGGATGGATACCTCCATCTTTATCAGCTCCTCTCTTTCTTCTTTCTTCTCTCCATCACAGTTGTTGTTATTGTTGTTGGGGTTTATTCTTCTTGACTTCAATTGTTATAATTGGGTTTGGGTGGTGGCACCAAAATATTTGTTAATTTCTTATTGAAGTGATTCAGTATTTAGCTTTTGTAAAACTTGGAACTTTACTGTTTTATGCTTTCAGTTAGTCTCCTGCCCTCTAAAATCCACTGGCCTCTGATTCTTGAATTGGCTTCTTTTCAAATATTTTTGCACCCACCAACCTCGTACTAACCTTGGAAGAGTGGCGTAGACAAGATCCTTAACTGTAACATGAAAGGATTTGTCAGAGTTGAGTCTCTTTCAAGGTGAGATCATAAGCCAACTAGTTCATTAAAATGTGGACAAGATATTGTTGTATGAATTGCTCGATCTAACACAATGGTTGTTGATATAGTTGAACGGTTCCTCCTCCCATGACTTGCCAATAACTTAATCTTGGTTAGGTAAGACTTTGTAAACGTACCAATCCCGATCTGTTACTCTGCAGTTAACCATTGAGTAGTATTTGATCAATTCAATTAATTGGCTGATGAGATATATATATATATATATGTGTGTGTGTGTGGTTGTAAAGATGTAATTCGATTCAATGTTTGATTAATATTTGATCAATTCAATTAATATCCAGAGGGCGTACGACACTGCTCACTTGTGTGTCTGGTACGGTGTTTATAATATTAAAAAACAGGTACAAAAGTAGACACAGTCCCTACGTTTGCATGGTGGGTTATTTATATTCTCCACTCGTTGAAAAAGTTGAATCCCCTCTCACCCCACCCAACACAGCACGCAGGTGGGAGGAGGTAAATATGGTGACTTAGTGGCTCAGCAGACAATGTCAAATGTTTATGCGCACAAACTATGGATCTGTTCACTCCATTTTGAACATAATCCTCACACTATTGCTGTCGAGTTTTGAATCTTGGATTATTTATATTTTCTGCTAAATCCAAGCCCAAAGCTAAGCTTGCATAATATAGTGGATGGAGCAGGTCAAGTCAATGGTTTTGACATTCTCTCATCAGCAGACAGCAGTTAATACCAAGTCCACCAATATGTATGATCACAAGATGGAGCGGTTTAACAAACTCCTTCCTCCCCGGCCCCCGCCCACCCTTCTCATATCTTAATATATAAATAAATATATAAGACTGGAAAACGCAAGGGATTTTAAAGATTTGAATTCAAACTATTTTCTTTCTTCTCAATTCTCCTCGATTATCTAGCTCCGATCGATCCCAATGGGCAACTCTATGGCGCACGGTGGCGCCGGAAAAGTGAAGGTGATTCTTGCAGATGGGAGGGTTTGCGAGTACGTGGAGGCTTTAACTGCGGCGGAGATGATGCTGGAGCATCCGCAGCAGGTGGTGGTGGAGTTTCAAGCGGTGGCTGAGGGGAAAAAGCCGGCTCCCTTGCCAGCTGACAGGAAACTGGAGATGAACAAGGTATACCTCATGCTTCCAATACGGCGAGGCAAGCCGGCGGCGTTGTCCAAGGAGGAAGCCCGACAGCTTCTGGGGAAAGCCAACGCTGTTTTGAAATCGAAGCTGTTGTCTTCATCGTCGTCGTCGGTTTTGTGTCACTACACCGGCTTTGTTCCGCTGTTTGCCCGGATGTGTCCGGCGGTAGCCGTTTCTTCTTCCGGCGGCGTTGTTCTGAATGCAAAAAGGAACATTGGGATCCGTTACTTGGAAGAAAATGAAGAAGAAGAAGAAGAGGAGGGCTCAAAAGCGGCGGAGTATTTCAGTGAAATAGTGGAGGGAAGGCCGGAGTATTTGAACATGATGATGAGCAGGCAATTATCAGGGAAAGGATGGAAGCCCAATTTAGACACCATTAAGGAGAAAAACATCAAAACCAAAGTACGTCATTGGTTGATTTAGTAATTTCTTCAGTTCAGCTTGCATTGTATGCATGCTGGAATATTGTTAATCAGTGCATATGTACGTTAATTAGTCGTTTATGAAAGTGGATCACTAGTCTCCTTATCTACTGTCGTCGTCATTTCTATTTTCTAATGTCGTTGTACTATATAATACCCAAGTTTGTTCGTAGTTTGAGTGTGTGTGCTGTTTCTTGTTGTCTTTGTGTAATTATATCCCCCAAATTCAAAGGAATCCATGCATTCAACAAATCAAGAAAAGCTTCTTTTTGTTTTTTTTTTTTTCTTTCCATACACGCCATCCTTATTCTAATTTGAATTTTATCAATTGTCTAGAACTATTGAGTTAGAGATGGGAATTATCATGTGACCCAATAAGGTCCATTTAGTTTTTTTTTTTTTTTTTTTAAATAGAGTTAGTGAAGGACCTGAAAGAGTGAAAGTACACATAGGATGCTTACAAGAATCCACATGCAACGGGCCGTAAGGTTTAAGGGCATGCAGTGTGGGGCAGGTGGATAAAAAATGCAAGAAATTTGGGCTCAACTAACATTTATTAAAAGCCCAAAAAAACAAATGTGAATCAAGTGGGCTTCATACATACATATATATGTGTGTTGTATATGTCTCGTATATTGTTAGAAGATGATAAATGTCTAGAGTGTAGTGGAGCGCAAATTATGCTTTGCAATCGAATGCACCATGCGCATGGTGCATTCGATGCAAAACGACGTCGTTTTGGTTAAAAAACTCGCGTCCCACTTAAAGAAGAAATCAGGTTTGATTCTCGGCAATAGCATTTTTATATATCCATAAATTCAAAACTATATATCCACAAATTCATAACTATATATCCACAGTGAATGAATGAAGTAAAAATTCACAATGAATGAACTAAATATCCACGGACAGTTCGGGAGGTAGTGGACATGGTGTCCCGTAAGCAACCCGATTTTGTATTTCTTATGGAAACTAAAGTGGCAAGAGATCATGCGGAGCGACTTCGTGTTACGATGGGTTTTGAGGGTTTGTTCTATGTTGATAATGATGGCTTAAGTGGTGGATTAGCGTTATTGTGGAAGAAGAATAGTACGGCAAGATTACTTAGTTACTCGAAGAACTATGTTGATATTGAAGTAACTATGGCAGGTTATCCACACTGGAAGATGACGTGTTATTATGGCTTCTCAGAACGTAATCGGCGTGCCGAGTCTTGGGACTTGTTGAGGACGCTTGCGGCGAAATCGGATCTCCCTTGGATTGTGGTGGGGGATTTTAATGACTTACTATATCAGTACGAGAAGAGGGGGGAAACCCGCATCCGGATAGCCTTTTACGAGGGTTTGGGGAAACATTGGAGGATTGTGGTCTGGCACAACTGCCGATGGTGGGGTACCCATATACGTGGGAGAAGGGGAAAGGAACTGCGAATTGGATAGAGGAAAGGCTTGACAAGGTTCTGGTGACGAATGAGTGGCGTAACGTGGTTCCCTATGCTAAGGTTACGAATTTGAGAACCAGGAAATCAGATCATTCAGCTATTTTCTGTGGAATTCATGAGGGAGTAGAGGCGAATGGAGGTAGGAGGAGGGGGTTTCGCTTTGAGATGGCCTGGTTGTATGATGATGGATATAGGGGGGTGGTGGAGCAGGCATGGCACGAGGGAAGGGGGCAGGGATTGCAAGCTTGTATTCAGTACTGTGGAAACCGGTTAACACGCTGGGGTGGGGATCGGTTCCATAAGTATGGGAAACAAATTTTAAGGTTGAAAAGGGACCAGGAACGGTTGAGGGGTCGTACTGACGCGGCCTCACTTGCTGAATTCCAGCGCATTGAGGAACTTTTAAGCAGAACAGAAGCCCAGGAGGATGCATATTGGAGACAGAGAGCCAAGCAGCACTGGCTCAAGGAGGCTGACACCAATACGAAATTTTTTCACAGGTATGCCTCGCACCGAAAGAAAAAGAATACTATATCTAAGTTAATGAATGACAATGGGGATTGGTTGGAAGGGGAACTTATGAGGAAAAATATTCTGGATTATTTCAATAATATTTTCACCTCTGGGAATCCGGGGGCAGGGGAGGAGTTTTTTGGGAAAGTAGAGCAGCGGGTATCACAGGCACAGAATGACTCCTTATTACAGTCCTTCACTGTGGAGGAGGTAAAAGATGCATTATTTGAAATGTATCCTGATAAGGCTCCGGGCCCGGATGGAATGAATCCGGGTTTTTATCAGCATTTTTGGGATGTAGTGGGAGGGGATGTGGCGAGTTTTGTGATTAATTGTCTTGAATCGTGTGAACTTCCGCCTGGTTTAAACAATACGGATATTGTGCTGATCCCAAAGAAGAATAATCCGGAGTTGGTAACAGACCTGCACCCTATAGCTCTTAGTAATGTGGTCTACAGAATAATTGCGAAGATGATATCTAATAGAATGAAACCATTGATGGATGGGATAATATCTGAGTCACAGAGTGCTTTTATTCCGGACAGGTTGATAACGGATAACATTTTGCTAGCCGCAGAGGTAGGCCATTTTCTGAATAGAAAACAGTGTGGATTAGGGGGATGGGGTGCACTTAAGCTAGATATGGCAAAAGCTTATGACCGGATGGAGTGGCCCTATCTTCGTAACATGATGAGGGCGCTAGGTTTTCATAGTAACTGGGTGGATTTGGTCATGAAATGTGTAACTACGGTTTCCTACAGTATCCTGGTGAATGGCTCTAGGAGTGATCCAATTATACCTACTCGTGGTCTCAGACAGGGAGATCCGTTATCCCCATACTTATTTATTATCTGTGCAGAGGGACTTTCTCTTATGTTGCAACAGGCTAACAGGGAGGGACTGATTCATGGATGTAGGGTGGCAAGAGGTGCCCCCAGGTCTCTCATTTATTCTTTGCGGATGATAGTCTACTATTTTTCAAAGCTAATGAGGAAGAGGCGAATGGGGTAAAGAAATGTCTGTCAGAATATGAAAGCCTATCTGGACAGGTTGTCAACTACCACAAGTCAAATATTTGCTATAGCAAAAATACAAGAATTATTGACAGGGATAATGTGGCTCAGGTTTTGGGGGTAACACAGGCTCCGAATTTTGACAAATATTTGGGCCTACCTTCTTTCGTTGGAAGGAATAAGAAGGCAGCTTTTGCTTATATTGAAGATAAAATACACCAAAGGATTGGGTCTTGGAATAAAAGATTACTATCCCAAGCAGGTAAAGAGATACTATTGAAAAGTGTAGCACAATCTATGCCTACCTTCTCAAT